AATCAGGTGTGTGTGCATGTGCATGTTTCTGTGTTGTGAGGGAGGCATTGCTATCAGAGATTAGTTACTGAAGGGGTAACAGCTCTCTCCCTCAGATTTTCACAGTAAAGTGAAAAAAGAGCCCAGCCGGTGTGGCTCAGTGGTTGAGCATTGACCTATGATCCAGGAGATCGCAGTTTGATTCCCTGTCAGGGCACATGTCTGGGTTGTGGGCTTGATCCCCAGTAGGAAACGTGCAGGAGGCACCCGATCAATGACTCTCTCATCACTGGTGTTTCTCTCTCTCTCCCCCTTCCTTTCTCTGAAATCAACATAAGACATATTTTTTAAAAAACTTTTTTAAAAAAGAAAAAAGAAACAAAAAGAATTATAAGGTCAAGGCAGAGTAAACAAGATGGAAGCCAGTGAGTGAAGAGGGTAGATAATAATTAGGTGTACAGGGGGAACCTTGAAACGTACACTGAGCTCTTTCATACATTTATTCCACTAGCATTTCTCAAAGGATTACTATGCATTGCTACCTTCCTAGATGCAGGGATATAATGTTGAGTAAGACCAAGTACCTGCCTTGGAGGTACTTAAAATCTAGTTGGAGTGATCAAACATGTAAACAAATTATTGCAGAATTATTTATCTGAGCAACCCTCAGACCATGACCAATATCAGCTCCCACTACTAAGTGTTCTAGAATGAACCTCCCCATTGCCCTCTACCAAACATATTTCTTTGTTTGCCTCAATCACATCTTGTCTGACTTCTCCATAAAGGTTTTCAAGCTTTTATAGCCTATCATAAGCTCTTTTTTCCCTTTCCAAATAGATCACATTCATTTATTTACACGCTGCAGATCTCCTATGTATCTAACTGTTCTGTTTCTTTCGTTACCAAATAATGGAAGAGACCAAGTCTTCCATTTTGTATTAAATAATAGATATAAGAATGTGTCTGAAAATGTTGACCTAAGAGTACAATCTGATATCTTTGGTAATTCATACTCCTTCCCTTTGAGGAAAGCCTTACTTAACGAACACGATACACTGGACCTGAGTACTTTAAATTTTACATTAAAATTGGGCCTAAGGTTATTAACCAAAGAAGAAGAAAAGAGTTACATAAACAATAGCCTATTTAACTATAATGTTTCACCATTTTATCTCCTGACTTTGTGTGGACACAGACTTAGCCAATTAAATAATTTTATAAATCTTATAGGATAATTGGAGGTGAATAAAAATAATTTCAGATATCAGTATAGAAGAGCTATATAGTGAGAAAAAGAAGTTATTTAGTATAAAGTAAGAAGAAACAAATCTTAAGGGGCTAAAAACTACTCCCTAAAAGTGATTATAGGTTCTAACCTTCTCCAGATTTTGGGTTTAGAACAAACAAAGCCTTACTGGGTTAAACAAAAAATCCTGATGAAGGCTACAAGTCATGCTTTGAGAGAAAAAAATTACTCTCTTCCTTTTCCTAGAATGATCCCTTTATAAAAAAATTGCCAAATGCATCACTATTATCAACTTAATTAAAACTCTGGAAGGTTTTGGAGATTTTTCAGAATTGTGATAGTAATCTTTGTACAAAATACAAAGGTAGTTATATAGGCTAGCTGTATGGGAACATGGCACTCAATGAACAATGCATAAACAGCAATTCATGGTGGCTACATTTAAGTTATAAAATCACTTCTCTAATAAAAGTATGAAATATGTATGCCTCATTAATATTTCCTGTCTAGAGCCTAATTTAAAAAATATAAACTATATATGATAATTAGCACTTGCTTGCTCTATATCTCACCCTTTGACAATGTCTACGTTAAAAAGTCAGGGAATGCCTCTCAATGTTCCAGGCAGGGGATTGGAAATTGACTAACCCACATATATCTCTTCTCCAAGTTCTTCCAAGGGCAGATGCCATCTATCCAAGAGGAAAGATGGATTCTAGTGGTAGAAATTGGAGTGCTCCTCCACACCATCAACATAGACCATATTTGCAACTGATACCGATATGCTTCCTGTGTAAAAGCCAGGCCATGCCCTTAGCCTCATGTGGCAACAAAGCAACGTGGATTTGTTACAACATCCTAGAGTGAGATCTGAATGTGCTTAAGGGAGTTCAGCAGCAGTAAGAGTGGTGCAATGCATACCACAACTCAGACCCAATGCAAAAGTCAGGCCCCTATCCCTTTGATTGCAGGAACTTAGCTATTTGAAGAGCTAAACCCCCAAAGTAACAACTATAGGGACCTGCAATGAATTAGAATATCCTGCCAGAAAGGACGCGACTGAAATGCTTTCACATGCCAGACCAGATGCCACTGAAATACTGTTTGACAAAACGAAAATAACAGCTTACATCAGGCTGCTGAGTCCTCCCCACAGAACACACACAAAAATCTTCGTCATGGGGTTCAGAAGACTCTGGCAGACGTAATCTCTCTAGACCAGCTGCCTAATTCCAGCAACGCCTGCACATGTACCAATTCCAGAAAAACAAGTGTCTACTATTAAAGGAGATGCTAGAGCCTTCTTTTGAAAAAAAGAAAAAAAGTCCATTCTAGCACCTGACTCCTGACCCACAGGCTGCAGCTTATATGCATTCAAGCAGTTTCCATTTGCTAAAGGGTTTATTGAAAGACATTCGAACCAGAGGAATTCCCAGTGAAGAAAACAGCAGAATTATCATCAATAAAGGGCATATAACAACAACAAAAGATTAAAATATTTCCTTTTTCCAATTATAATCAATTAGTAATTACAATGAGAAACCAACAGCAGTTTAAAAATATGTAAACCCAGCAATATCTTTTACAAAAAATGTGCAAGATCTACATGGAAACTCTACAAAACTTAGGGACAAGAGAGATCTAAATGAAGACACACACCAAATCCTGAATGGAAAGACCCAATATATAAATAAGAACTTTTGAAGGTTAATTTATATTGGAATTATTTAATTTTTATTTTGCAAATCCCCTAAAATTTGGGAGATGAGGAATTGATGGACTGATTATAAAATCATTAGGACAAATAAACTAATGAAAATAGCTAAGGACATGGTAAAATTTAAAAAAAGGGGGGGAAGAATAGGGATTTGCTTGACCAGATCCTGAAGTGTATGATAAAACCTCACTGATTAAAACAATGTGCACTGGCACAGGAAGAGCAGATGGATCAGTGGAATAGAAGTCTAGAAACAGACTTAGCCATAAACAAAAATGTAGTATACAATAGAGGCAGTGATTTCAAATAGAGAAGACTGATTCTGTAAAGGTAAATGATAAACTGGAAAAGTTATGTGATACACAAAGGGGCAATCCCTTTCAGATATTCCTTTATATTACAGAATCTTTTCAAAATAAAGGAAAAGACAAACTTAGTAGAAAATTGGGCAAAGGTTTAACAGGCAATTCCCTCTCCCTCCCTCTCTCTCTCTCTCACACACACTAACACACACAGATAAGGTGTTGAAATTGTTAAACTGCGCTAGTAATATAAGAAATGCAAATTTAAACAAGTTGTGTGCTTTTGTTTTTCACTTATCAAATTCATAAAAGTCTTGAATTATAAACTTGTGAAGGTATAAAGAAAATATAACCTATAACCTGCTTGGTGGGCAATCCAGCAGTTAACATTAAAACCCATAACAACATGTCTACCATTAACTTCACAACTATAAATTTACCCTAAGGAAATAATTATGATGTTGGACAGAGATTTATCTACAAGGCAGATTAAGGAAGCTTACATTAGCAAAATACTGGGAAGAACATAAAATAGGGGATTGGTTATATGAGCTATGGGATTTTCATATGATGCAATACTGGGCATTCACTAAAAGTAATGTTAGAAAAGGAGATTTAACAACATTGGAAAATGTTCATAATGTAGCTTTAAAAGAAGATACAAATTATTTACTGTATGATCTGATATTGATTTTTAAAAGTATGCACAAAAATCTAGATGTAGAACTTAGCAGGAATGTTAGCAGTTGTTACTGCTGTAAGGCCTATTACAGGTGATTTAATATTCTTCGTGCTTTTCTGAACTTCCAATTTCCTACACTAAACTATATTTTAAAGTTATTTTCCAAAACCAATTGGAAAGATACATTTCAAAGGTCTCTTGGTTTCCTCTGGCTGCTAGAATCGTGGATGATTTAATTTTCAATATGATTTTCTATATTTCTCAGAAATTTCTACAAGATTAGTTTTTTTTAAAAAAGAAACACAACATACACTCCTTAAGTTTTGGGGTGTTTCCTTAGGCGGCTAGACCCACAAAATTAGTTAAAATGCAGAGAAGCCTAGGACAAGCGTCTAGAGTGATACTAAACCAAGCCCTCCACCCTGGGGGCCAGGTCTTCACTGGGCTCTGTATTCCCTGCACCTAAAGCACTGCATCTTTGGTGGTGAAGGACACCTAGCCTGCTGAGTGGAAAATACCACTGCCACGACCCACTCCCACTCCACCATTCTAGGTCTTGTCTTTTCTCTTCTAAGCAATGCCAGGAATATTTAAGTAGTACTGTTGAGTATAGTATCCTTAAAGTGGAGTCCTGATGAACACCAATTATTCAGAATCTCTAAAGTGCCACAGAAAAGATGTTTGTGTAAAAAAATACTAACCCAAGTATAATCAATTCTGCAATATCAAAGAGAAAAGAAATCCCGCTGTTAGAAGTGTTTTACTTAAGTTGCTACTTTTTTTTTTTTTTTGAGAGCCATGCCAGTCTTTTTTATGTGATGTAAGGTTAACAAATGGCTCACATGTAGTAGCATTTAGCAAAGCAGTATTATTTTATGGCACTGAGTTACTAAAACCGGGGAGGCTATAAGAGCAGTGTTCAACTGACCTCAAAACCCTAAAATCTTAAGCAACCACACTAATAAGGGAGACGTGCCTGACAACTTTAATCTCCTCCCTGGGACTGCAGAAACCAATGCTTGGTTAAGTTAAGTAAACTTGAGTCCTTACTTCCTTCTCTTCTGTTCACAGGCTCTAGGCTAGAGGAAGAACTATCAAGACCTTAAAAGACCAAATTCCAAAAAAGAAAGGACAATAAGGAAACAAGATAAGTAACCCTTCAACGAGCAGAAGCTGATTAGTCACACAGAAGCCGTCTGAATTATAAGCAGCCTGCCCAGTGGTGACTTCAAGTCCAGTTTTCTAGAACCTTTGCCTCCTTGGCCACCTGTGCATACCTTGATCTTAGCACTCGGTATATTAGAAACTCTCTGCATCTCTCTCATTGACAAACTACATTTCTCTAAGATGGGGACCATGCTGACTCAACAGCTCAGTATGAACTCACTTAATACTCGGTGCTGTGCACAAGTTCTTGGGCCACTGTAGGTAGAAAACAAACGTTTTTGAACTGCTATAATAACTGATAAAATTGACATTCTGTAGTATTCCTGCAGAGGTGAAAGGCACAAAAGTAATAATAAGCTTAAGAGCCCTTATGTGGAGGGATGAAATTTTAATAATTAAAATAAATATCTAAGTAAAATGTTAGCGGTCAGAAGGAGAACTAGAAGAATTTTGAGCAGAAAAACTCCCAGTTTACCCAGTTCACCCTAAAGGCAGGAAGATGGGAGAGAATCTAAAGATGAAGAACAGAAGCTACATCTGACTCCCTTTCCACCTTCAGAAGAGATACTTTTGAGTTTCCAGTTCCTGACATATAAATCCCTAAAGCATAAAGGAAGCTCTGACTTAAAACATGGCTAGTCACAATCACAGAGAAATGAAAAGGGAAGAAGAGAGATGGGGAGAAACACATGGGCAGCGAGACACACTTGCTTCCCCCACCCCCGCTCTCGAGCTCTCTCTGTCACACACCATTACACAGTGGAATAATACAAAATGTTTGCCCTGTTCCAAGATTCGCCTTCCTACTAAGGGTCTGGTCTGCCCATTCATTGATGAAACATGTCACTGAGATCCTGACGTTCGCAGTTAGGCTCCCTCGTCAAAGAGGGTATGTGTGACATAACCACATGTGTTTACAGAGCCATATTACACATCAGCTTCTTGCGGGGCACCAAGAAAGCCAGTCAATCTGGATAAGTAGCCTGTAATTCAAACTGAAGGGAGCTCTGAGACCAGAATGAGGCTTGTTCAGTGATTCTCAGGCCTGGATGGACATGAGAATCACCTGGGGAGCTTTAAAAAAAAATACTAGTGTACACTCAACCCAAACCAATTAAATCAGAATCGCTAGGGGTGAAGTCTGGGTATTGTTTTTCTTCTTTTTAAAGCTCCACAAAGAATTATCATGAATTTTTTTCCCCTCATAGTAAAAGCAAGTGGTTATGTTTTTTGTAAAATGTCTACTAGGGATAGAAGATTTGCTTTACAATATCCCATGAAAGGGGCAGTTTTAATTATACAAGACTGGCAAACGTTGGTGATTGTTGAAGCTGGGTGATGGGCACTCAGGAAGTGATTATATCATTCTATTCTTGTATAGTTAAAAAACTCTATAATAAAAAGTTACTTTATAAAACAGCAGAAACAACCATCTGTTCTCTTCCTACCAAATGTGTACGTGTATATGTATAATGTACTTAATATTAAAAATAATTATGAAAACATTGCAATAAAAGCTTTGCAAGCGATTCTAATGTGCAACCAGAGTTGAGAACCACCAGGCTATGTGCCTGAAGGAGGGGCAAACTTGACTTGGAAAATAAAGATTTAAATAAGCAGCAAGAGGCAATCCAGGTGAACGAGATCAACTAAGGCTTGTGGCAGATGCAACCCAGGGAGGATGGCAGGCCTCCCCTACCGAGTCACTGTCTCCAGTTTCTGCTGTGCGTCCATTTGCCTGAATTTTTAGCATCTTTATTCACAAGTAAATTGTAACTACACACATACATATGTGTGTGTATGTATCTGTGTGTGTACATGATTTAATACAGCACTGACAATTATACTCAGTAGCATGTAATTTTTAAAAAAACACCATTTGTGGAAACACTGCCTAGGACCTAAAATGCTCTGGCCTGTGGAATAGTCACACAGAAAAGCTTTCCTCAGGACGCCGCAGGGGTGAGGGTGGCGGTGTGGGCTTTAAAACTAGCAAGCCCTTCATCTACCTAAGTGACTTCTGGGCAGTGCTGCTTAGAGGGCCGGCAGTGAACTCTTAAATCAGGTGTTGCTTGTGGGAGGAGTCAAGAAGAGCAAACAATTCTCAATTTAATGAATAGAAAATGCATTTCAGCTCCCCCATTCTGCCCCCCAAATCCCCAACTCACCGATTCTTCTCCATTTCATTGTGAGTTGATCTGAAAGAGGGAACAATAAGGAAAGAGTAAGATTATTTTTGTCTTAAAGAACTACTTCAACACCAACAGAATTATTTTAACTTCTTTCTCTCCAAAGATAGAAGACGAAGAAAGGGAGAAAAACTCAGTGGGCTCTACTAAAGAAATCAGTTCCTTTGGGGGTCAGATAAATGTAAATATCTAAAATAGAGTTCAAGGAGAAGTGACAAACTAAGAGGCATGCATTCCCTAGTGGAAAAGTAATCCATTTTAAGAAAGGAAATAAAAGGAGTCTATTTATACAAAGACAAAAACAGCTGCACAATGTGATGTGAATTTGGGTTATATAATTCCACAAAGCTTTCTTTAGGCTGAGGGTCCAAGAGTGGAGGAGGCACCCCCACCCCAGCCACGTAGTTTTTTCTAGGTGTAGTATACACCAAAATTTTATGCTAAGTTGTCTGACTACAGGATTCATTTTTAAATGGGCAAAAATAACCCTCTTCCCTCAATCTTTGTATTCCCTAAAGTAACAATTCTATCATGTACAACCTCGTAAAAGGCACTGCTATTGAATAGCTACAAAATTATTTTAGGAAAGGGCTCCTAAAACTCATTTTAACATAAAGATAATAGACTGGTTAAAGTAGCAGTTAGGGAGAAATCTGAAGTCCAGCTTTGCCACTGACTGGTATTGTGGAAGAAATAGAATTTTTTACCATCCTGTCCTTGGTTAAAACCCTTCTATAAAATGGGAATAAAAATTGCCAATTATCTACTAAACAAGTATGGATCAATGAGGTAGCAACTGTAAAAGTGATTAGAGAGCCTTGGATGAAAGCTGTGGTGGATGTGAAATCATATTATTAGTGTATTTATAGCTGACCCTGAATATAACGTCTGGCCTAAAATTTATGGACAGGTTTCCACAAAAGTCACAAGAAGTCAGTCAATGTGGTCACTTCAGTGTCCTGCTCACACAATTCCTCCCTGACTAGTTATAAATAAAGTTGAGTAACTCCCCAGTGTTATAAAGGCACTGAATCCTGACCTTTCTTACGGAAATTATCTGGAATCTAACTAGTTCAGGACATTATGCCTTGGCTTAAGTCATGAAATTCTGTGGGGCCATAATCAGAACCTTACTGGGCCTAGGAGATAAATTCTCAGAGAAATCATGGAGGAGCACTACTTCCATGAATGCTCAGACACTCATTTACATCAAGGGGGCACCACCAAGTTTGTTCACACCAGAGACTAGGGGCGTGTGTGTTGTGTGTGCAGTCTTGAAATGGGAAATTTCCAGTCTGGCACTGAAACTTCTCTTCCACAAGGAAAAAACAAAAAAATGATGACAGTACTTTTGGTTTTAGAATATTTGTTTTCTAGATAAAGGTTATGTGAACTTTAAAAGTGGTTAACTTAAAAGCTTTAAATTGATTCACTTGGTTATCCCTCAGCGTTCTTCAGTTACATTTTTCTGAAGGTTTACTTTCTGCAATGGCCAGCAGGATATCATAGTTAGCAAGAATCTGGCCTGCGATGCAAACCTTTGGCTAAAAAGCATATGGCATGTTAGTTTTAACAGGGAGTAACAAGTTCAAAGTCTGACAGATTTTTTAAATGGGTGAAACTGTATGACAACAACTGGTCAAGATTTCCGTTTAGCCATAGACAAGGACCATCCTCAAGTACCATCCTCGGAAGGTGCTGGAAGAGAGGAGGGTGGATATTTGAAAGAACATGGTCTCCAATTACAGGAAATAACAGCACACAGGGAACTCTTACCCAAAAGTTGTGGATTCTTTGAAGATACATATAAAAAATTCTGAATCCTCAAAATTAATTTTTTAATAGATTGCATAGGAAGCACAACTCCTTCCAAACTCTGAACAGAGTTTTAGAAACCACAGATCTTATTTGATTACTTAAGGGTGTGGAACACATTCTAATTTTTACAAAAGGACTTATACCTAATGGCTGGGGCATTACTGAAGTGCATTTGGTTTACTGAAACTGAGTTTGTTTTTTAATAAAAAGCAGACCTTTTAAGGAAAAATCAGAGATTATTCAGAGATTAAGTTCAGAGATTTCCTGCCAACTCTGTTGATGGGTCAACATTTATATTTTTAATTACAGCATTGTAAAAGATAGAGATACTTTGTATCAAAATTAGTTTCCATGTGATTACTGAAAAGATTTGATAACTCTGGAATCATTGATGAAGGTCAAATGTTGCCATTTAAAAATATATTCTAACAGAAAGATAACTAAGCCAAACTACAGAGTATTTGTGAATGAGAAAAGTCCTTGGTTCAAAAAGACTCCGCATGTCAGGTCAGCTATACAGCCACTGTCTCATAAAAGAACTTAGTGGCAAGTCCTGAACTTCCTCTTTCAAATGAGTGCCAAAGCCTGCTTCACCAATTTAACATATTTTTTTTTAAACTCTGGATTTCAATTCTATATATTTAGTAACTGATTTAAAAAATCAGTAGGAAGGGGAAAAAAGATTCCATCTCCCTGTATTCCAGTAGTTCTCTGGATGATTCCAAAACAATCAATATTCACAATTTCATTTGTTTCTTGTTGTTTTTTAAACAAGCAATTAGAAAAACTTAAGACCTGCATTTTCAGTTCCCAAGAAGTTTTATATGTGATTAAATCTTATTTTTTATTGTCCAAGGAAAAATATCCCCCAGACTCTAAAAGCAAAGAGCATAGCATTTCAACCTGAATTAACAAGAATAAACTGCTATCCAATGGTTATGTAAACCAGCAGCAATCTCTCCATAGCCCTTACCTCAGTTCAAAATCCTGACGATACAGAGCTTTGGATATAAGTCTGATAATTCAAATCAAGGGATAAAACTGCATTCTCTGGGGAGATGTCTCTCTGTTCAGGTAAAGGTCATTCCAAACAGGTCATGAAGGAAATGATCACATTTAAACAAAACAACCTGCTCCTGCTTCATATGATTGCTTGGTGTCTTCAGGTTTAATCATGGTCCCTTAGAGATCCTAGCATCGCTGAAGATATTTACACTAATTCACTATTAGTCAAGAGCATGGACAACTGTGATAGCCCCCTATCTCTAATCATGGAAAGCAAACCAAACCCATTAAGAGAATAGAGCTTTCCCCAAAATCAGGAGTTGCAGCCATTTTTTAGGAATAATGCTTCATATTAAAGAAAAGAGAAAGACTGTTTCTTGGCTTGAAATTCTCAACTATCATTATTTATTATTTTTCTTTCCTTCTGGGACCAAGCCGCTTCTTTTCATCAACTTCCTCTTCTCTGCCTGTCCCTACCACTGAACATCCTCTGACAACTTTCCTGTGAAACAGGAAAAAATAAATCGCTAAGGATTAAGCCTTGACTATTAATGTGGGCAATTCTTCTCACATCATGAGTAGACAAGAATAAATGAATTACACTTTTCCAGAAAAATAAACCAAAAGGATTCAAAGTTCTTCCAAACAAAACTTTAAAAATTAATACTGTAACAAAATGCAGTATAGCTAAATTGTTTTATATCATTGCATAATCCAAGCGAGTATTAGTGTCCTTCTTAAAGGCCTATAGTATCCATGCACAGATATACTGGCTGCCACTTGCAGGTAATGCTAAAGGTGGGAGCCAAAAGAAAAATGACCAGGTAGTTAATTACCAGGTTCATCCTTCACGCGCCATCCTATTCAAGAGCTCAGCACGTGTGCGCTGCTCGCATCCTGTGGTTCTACCAACACTAAGGACACTGAGGTGAATCAAGGACAGAAGAGACAGCTAGAACAAGTGAGTTAGGTTTAAGTAGGAACCTTCTGGGTTTGTTAGTGGTCTGTGCTAACCGTAGAGGCTAACCAAATAGTGACTTGCAGGGAGCTATTCATGAAGATGGAAAGGGGTAAGGGTTCTAAATCAGTAGTGAAAATGTCAGTGATTTTAATTTACTGCAATGAAAGGTATAGTTGAATGGATCTAATAAAGGAGATTTCCTAGCTAACTTATATTTTAAGAGCAAAGAGGAAGAAAAGGACAACAGTATTATTGGAGTACTGATATGTACCAGGAACTACGGTCAGGGCCTTAATATGTGATTTCACTGACCATTAACCTAGTGAGAGTCCCACATTATAAGGACTATAAGGCTAATATAAAAGGGTTGTGGCATATTAATATTTTAATAATATATGTTCCTCCATCACTGAAAAGGGAGATTTTAACCTCATTTATTCCTCTCTGCCATTATAAATAGATATGACAAATTAGATTATCAGACAAACCACTGTATTTAATTTACATGTCACATATGAAATCCTACCACCTATGCCAAGTCAGATACTTTAACATGTTTATAAATTTTTCATTATAAAAAGTGAAAGAAATGGATAATGTCCATTTCTCTTTTCAATCCCCTCAACCCAAACAGAAGGGCTGCTTCCTCCAATGGCTTAAGACCATGTGTGCATTACTGAATCATGATCGCTACTTAATTTACTGGGTTATAATCACAACAGGTAACTTCCATTCTGCAGTTTGTGTCATCTGCAGTATAATCTAAATGGGAAAGAGAAGTATTTACCAAATTACCTGCTACTGCTGTTATTCTTCTTAGATTTGTTCCTCCGTTTTAAGGCATCTCTGTCCTTGTTATTGTATGGTAACATGGAGGCATAACCATGCTCAGCTTCTAGAAAACCGGAGGATCCAGTTAATGAATGAGCCTAGAACATTCAATACTCTCTCCCCTCCACTGTATTTCTTTTTAAAATTTACTTATTTTTCATTGAAAGAATATTGTGGAAATAATTAAACGCAGCCAGGTGGAATTCTTAGAACAATGATTGTTTTTAAAATTGTGTGAATACCCTCGGTTCGGAGCAGGTGTAAGTAGCATTCCAGCTGCTCATTGTTGAGAAAGACCCAGCAAGTCGCTAAGCGCATGGAGCCTGGGTTTCCCATTTGCAACGTCCAGCAGGTGTGTTAAGTGGGACCAGGCGAAGGTGCGCCGCAAACATCGGGAGCCAGGGGCGGGGGGACAGGGAAGGCGCTGCTCCTCTGGCTGAGAGACGCGGTCAGCTGAGAAGAGCCCCGTGAGGTAAAGCAAGGGCCTGGCCGAGGGGGCCCCCGGCACCCCACTCGCGACGGGGTGGAGAGGGTGCGACACTCGGGACCTCCGAGTGCAGCGGCCCCTTTTCCACCCCCACGGATTGCCTTTGGGACAGCGGGAGTCCTCCCTTCGGACCGCGCGTAGGGAGAGCTGGAGGGGTTGGGAGCGCTCGCGGTCGCGCTCTCCCCGCCTCCAACTACCCCCGGAGCGGCTAGGCGCCCGGACCCGCAGCGGGGCCCCTCAGACCCCCGGCCCCTGTTTGGGTCTGACCCCTCTCATCCCCGTGCACCTCTCTCCCGCCGCTCCAGGTAGTCAGCCGCCTCCAGCAGCATCTGGATGTTCATCCGAACCGCCGTCGCCATTCTGCACCGGGGGCCGGAGCCACGGGACCAACCCCCACTGCCCACGGGCTCGCCGCCGCCGCCGCCGGACACCCGCGACCCGCTGTGGACTCGGCAGAGCAGGGTTCAGGCAGCCTCTCTGGTGACCACGCTTGTCGGAAGGGGGAGGGGGCCGGTGAGCTGGGCACCGCCGACACGGTGACAGAACCCGAAGAAGAGCAGCAGCCGCCCCCGCCGCCGAGTGTTTATCTCCGACTCACCATCCCCCCGCCCCCAGTCCCTTCTCTTGACAGGCCCGCTTCGCCTGCATTCCTCATTGGGCGCCCCAAAGACCGCCCGCCTATGGCTTTGCCGGATTGGGGGAGGGCATTAGGGCCCCGCCCCCTGGAGTCCGCTCCTTTTGCTGGTTGGCCATGCTTGACAAGGCCCAGGCTCCACCCCCTTTCTCCTATTGGTGACAGGATTCGCAACTCCGCCTCGTGCTCCTCCCCTGTTTTCAATTGGTTCCATACCGACAACCGGGCCCCCTTTTGCTTTGTTAGTATTGGCCAAGAGCTGCAGAAAGCAAGCCATTTCGCCTGTCTCCCATTGGCGAAGACTTCCGAAACCTCCCAGCTACGATGACGTCATCCTGCACACGCCGGGCGATCCCTGAGTGGCTGGTAGTCAGCGGCCCCCGCTTCGCCTCCCGATCTGGCATGGGCTGGGAGGGTGACCCGGCGCCGGCGCCCGGAGCCGATGATTCACCGGCCGTCGCGGAGCTCGGCTCCACCCGGCCCCTCCCAGCCCCTCCCGGCCTCCCCTAGGACCTGTTGCCAGGACCTGTCTGTCCCAGGGGGAAAGTTCCGGGGACCTGTCGGCTGTCCCTCGAGTATGAGGTTGGAATCGCGCCTCGCCTAGGCAATCTGCCCCGCTTGGGGTCGGGGTCGGAGCCCTGGACCTGGCGGCGGCGGCCCCGGAGGTTCCAAGGCTTCCCAGGATCCGGGCGGCTAAGGACACCGCAGCGAATCCTTCTGAAAGGGGAGAGATGCTGGCAGCCCGGCAAAGCGGCCAGTGGGCTCCGGCGGGCGCCACGTAGCTGAGGGAAAAAGCCTGGCTTTTAGTTGTGTGAAATGATCGCCTCCAAACATTTTTTCTTCTCTCACAATGCGCTAGAACAGGGCGGTTGTATTCAGCATTGAGCTCCTCTCGGAAGGCACTGCCCACCACCCCAATTACTCCCTTACACGAGTGGGGTTTAAAAGCTCAGAAGCTTCCCTACCTACAGAATGACGTTGAATCCCGAGATTCTTTGCCCTAAATCACTTTTAGGGTCTTTCTTTCCCCTTTGATTCTAGATGAAAATATTTTTAAAAACACTTTTCAAGACAGCTATAAATGGTGTTTGTGTGTGTGTGTGTGGGGGGGTGGTACCAATATAAATGCAGAGAACTAACAAGTTGATTAAGGATTGTTCCTCAGTCTGTCAAGATTTCTGAAAGTTATTTCGAGACCCAAGTTACTGTTAATATATATATGACACCATTATAAAAAGTAGAAATAAAACTTGTTGAGAGTCCTGAATATAGAAATGAGTGAAGCGTGAACATATTTCCAAAGCTTTTTTAAAAGTTTATAATTATGGTCAATATATGAGAATAGAGCTTATATTGTGTCTGCTAATTTTCATAAATTATCTCTACACCTCCACCATTAGGTAGGTTAATTTATCTACATTTTGCAAATGAGGAAACCGAGGCCCACAGAGGCTAAATGACTTTCCTAGTCATCCAGTCAGAGATGGGAACTGAACCTTGATCTGTTTCACCCAGAGCCACCCTACCAATGCTCCCATTAGTAGTTTGTTCTAAAGACAAATAGATTTTGAGACCGAGTCACAAAACACTGCCACTCAAACACTGGAGAAAAAAAAAGCATTTAACGGTAATTATGATGGGAAATTTTAAAAGGGTCCTTTTTAATGGTTGACAAACCCATTAAAATTAAATAAACTGGACAGAATTAATAAGTAGAATAAATGTAGTAAACTATGCCTAACATACAGGAAACACTTTTTGATTTTAATGGTTAACTGGATCTAAAAGGTGATTCTTTATAAAAAAAACACTAGTAAATACACATACTGAAGGTAAGTTTTTCAAGCAAGCACAAAAATTGAGACTGGGAATATAACAATTTTAAAGACTAGTTTTAAGAACTATTTCATAAATTACAAGTTATTTGTAAAACAAATTTGAAAATCATAATGGTAAAGTACAAAAACTGGTAATAGTAAAAATGCTTTCATTTCATTATTCTTAATTTTAGATTTTATATCCTTTGTTTTTAATCCTCTCCCGAGGATATGTTTTCTGATTTGAGAGAGGAAGGGAGGAGAGGGGGACAGAGAGAGAAACATCTATGTGAGAGAGAGACATTTATCAGCTGCCTTGGGGGATTGAACCCACAACCTGAGTATATGTGTCCTGACCAGGAAGCAAACCCTTGAACCTTCGGTGCAGGGCACAACACTCCAACCAACTAAGCCACACCGGCCAGGGCGGCTTTTGCATACTTTTATATTTTCTCTTTGATTTTATTATGAACATTCAGCATATCTCTTTATTCTTTCTCTCTGACCCTCAACTCTTTTTTTAAACCTAGCCTTATTTCTATATCATGATCCTTCCCCTAGAGTCACCATGATTGAAAATCACTTATAAAAAATAAAAAAAGGAGAAAAGGTTGAAATTTGAGTCAGAAATAGCAAATTAATAATTTGAACACCAACAGGTTCACATTCTATACAAATAGACGAAGTTATATAACAATCAGAGAATTAGACCAAAGAATGGACCATTACTGTTCCCTGGTGGTGACGGAAGGAACGATGAATTAGCAACACCAACTAGGGATTGGTATCAAGAACTTTAAAGGGTATTTGGTGCCATCTACTGGATATCAAGCAGCAAATATAAAACAAAGGTTTGGTTTGGTTTTTATAGAAATTATTTCACACAAATGTATACAAAGACCAGTTAAATAAGATAACTGAAAGTGCAGGTGTTGAAGAAGGAACTGAAAATCCTGAAACAAAGTAGAAGTGGTAACCCCTAGACCTAGAACCTCAAAGGTATTACATAAGCACTTACTGACAGGCACAACCCACAATATAAAAACTGGAAATTCCAAAATGTTTGAAACTGAATTTTATGACCAGAATTTTAAATAACGTTATATGTAATAACATAAATACAACAGTTTATATATCTTTGAGCAGGCATCAAGATCAATTAATAGAATTGGGAAGTAAAAAGAAAATGTTGAAAATGAGAAAGCACAAAGATGTAAACTATATTACCCATCAGATAATCTTTATGGCATGTTTTAGAAAGCTAAAACTCAGTCTCCTGCCTTTGAGGGGCTTCTATACTCCAGGTGGGCAGAGGACAGTATGTAAATGCTGAGTAAGCAGCAGGTTCATTAAATGCTACCGGAGTTCTGGCAGAGAGAATTCTTCAGTAAGTACCTCACAGAGTGGCAGGGAAAAGATAGCTGTAGTATTTCAATCCTTAAATGTCTTAAAACTTCCAAAACGAAGTAAAACACCTTACTTGTAACTGAGTTTGACATTTCTTAACCACTATAAACATTAAAATAAATTTCTGAGGAACTGATTTTGTTCTTCAAAGTGTAAAAATCAGGACTGGAATTTTCTGCTTCAAGAATATCAATCCCCATCTTTGTGGCTACTTGGACACCCTAATACCATGACATCTAATATGATGATATTAAGATTTAAAAACCTTTAAGAACACTGCTTTGCAAAAATTAGTTACTCCACAAATATTTTAAAAACAGAGCAATGGATTAAAAACAGTGGTATATATAGTACACAAAACACTAAGTAGTGGTAAAGCAAAAAGGGTGGGGGGAGAGGTACATAAACTGGCATGGAAAGAACTCCAAGGCAGTATTAAATAATTAGTTGTAAAATAATCCCTACAGCATATTATTTGTATTAAAAAAAGTCCCAAACAATGTATCTTCCTCATTTCCAACTCTGTTACTTACATGCATGCATAGACAAAGGTCTAGAAAGATACACTGCAGAGAAGGGGCAATTAGACCAGGATTGAGGGGTACTATTCAAATGGAATTTAGCTTTCCCATAAGGTTTTAAAATTTTTACAGGGAAAATGTGTCTATTTATTACTTGGGTAACTAAAGGTTAACATAAAAATCAAGAGAAGTGGCCAAGTTCAAAAAGGTCACTGAACTATATCCACAAATTCAATGGATATTTATTGACTGCTATACTCTGTGCCAGGCACTGTGTGGTGCTGGACTTACAGCCGCAAACAAGACAGAAGCCACTTTCTTCTTGTCTAGTGGAAGAACCAGAAAGTAATAAGTGAATATAGAGTGCGTCAGGCAGTGAGAAGCTATAAGGAAACTCTAGAGAGCATGTGAAAAAACTAGAACACTCAGACACTGCTGGTGGGAATGTAAAAGAGTGCAGCTGCTTTGGAAAACAGTTTGACAGTGCTTCAAAGTTAAACACAGAATTATTATATAATTAACTGCGCTTCCATCCCAGTTATACACCCAAGAGAATAAAAAACATATGTTCATACAAAACTTGTATATGAATGTTCATAGCAGCATTATTCATAATAGCCAAAATGTGGAACAACCCAAATGCCCATGAACTGATAAATTATAAATAAAAATGTGGTATGTGACATAACAGAATATTACCCATAAAAAGTAATAAAGTACTGATACATGTTATAGCATGGATGAATCTTGAAAATATGCTAAGTGAAACAAGCCAGACACAAAAGACCGAATTATTGTATGATTCCATTTACACGAAATATCCATTTATACGAAAATGTCCAGATTAGACATGTCCTTAGAGACAGGAAATACATTAGTGGTCTCTGGAGTGGGGAAGAGTGAGGAATGACTGTAAATGTGTACAGTTTCTTTTTGCGGTAATGAAAATGTTTTGGAATTAGTGGTGATGGATACATAACTGTGAATATACTAAAAGCCACTGAAAAGGAATACTTTAAAAGGGTGAATTTTATGGTATGTGAATTTTATCTCCATTTTTAAATGTTAAACAAAAAGAGTAAAGCAGGATAAAGGGCAAGAGAGGGAAC